ACTGGTGTGACCTTTATGGGAGTAGCATGGGCAATTTCCACTCGTGTACTCCAAAAAAAATGCTGACAAATTGAAAACTACCAAAATAGAACAAAGAAGGATTTCTAGAATCTCCTCTCCCCCTTACAGAAAGAGCCTTAAAAAGCTCAGTATATTTAGCTTATCACAGAAAAGGTTAAAAGACACGTTAAACATGGCCTACGAGTACTACAAAGGGAGAAGGCTGCTGACAGCAGAGGGCTCTTTAACATGCAAGACCCAATGGATCTAGCTGAAACTAGACAAATTCCACACAGAAAATGTGCAAAATCTGAAAAGTAGGAGGAAGCAGTCACTTGGAAAACTTGCCGAGGGATCTAATGTGTACCTGGAAATCTTTAAGGGCTTTATTTATTCTATTCTAAAATAAATACCTTCAATATTTTCTGTAAAGACCACCAGGTGACACTTCCTGCCATGTGCTGTGCACGAGAGGACCACCCAGTTGTTCACACCAGGTTTTTCAATACTAAAGTCATTAGCAGTTCTACAGATAGAGAGGTTGGCCAAGAGGTGATGGAGTTTACAAGACCTGGGTGAAAATGTACTTTGAAAGCAAGGGCGCAGGAAAGCTTGTTGGATAATCACAACTGGATAAACCACTCTTTATAGTGGGTGGACCCTCCTCATGTGTCTGGCCATCTCTGAACAGTTCTGAGGGTATTCACTTCATCTACTGCACTGCCTGAAAGAAAAACAGTAGTATAACCGAAATACTACGCTGCAGATACACTTGTATCTGATACACTGTGTTATATATCTCAACATAAAATTTAAGATATAACATTGTGTATTATATACTATATAATACAGGCTATTATAGATGTTGTGATATATACACACAGGCATTAATATATATACACACAGTATATCCAATCCACTGTTCAAAGAGATGCAACCTTCACTTAAGTGATCTATAACACAGAGAGACCTTGTGGAAGAAACATCAATCAGGGTATCACCAACTGCCAGGAAGGGAGGGAAGCACAAGACTAACATTTTCCAGCTAAATTGATCTAGGGTGTCACCAGTGGAAGAGACATGAAGAAAGACTGAAAGCACCCAGCTACCCTTCCTCAGCCAAGCCCAGACAGACCATCGTTGGCTGAAATTGCTCAGAGAAGACTCCGAATTACCCTTTGGTTTGTAGGTGAAAATACTACCACAACAATCAATCAAATATTGATATTTTTACAGGAGACAATAACAAATCAGTGTTTGCTGCCACAACAAATGCAGAAAACAGCCTGTCAGAGATTTCTGCAGGAGCACTACTAGTGGAGTTCTGGAGGTAAGTCAAGGCTTCTGAAGCGACTGTTTCCTCACAAAACTGACTTGTGTCCAACTTCTTAACATATGCCAGATCCTCCCCCCAAAATGTTGGAAGCCCAAATCAGCCAACCAGACTAAGGGAGAGAGAGGAGAAGCTCAAACTACTTGAGCTGAAAGCATCCCCTTCTGTCTCATCACTCTCCACACACATCCGAGGACATGGCTTGTGGGCTCGCAATTGCCCACCACATGACTGGAAGGACAAAAGATTCTCCAGTGTTCAGCTCAGTGCGACACAAAGAGCAATGGGACATGTGCCTGGCCAACCCAGCAACACGTCTTGGGGACTGCTGCAGCTTCAGTAACAAGCAAGGCACTTAGATGGAGCAATTCATGTTCATGTTAACCCATCCGCTGTGACCAGGCTCGGGCAGTGATCACACAAATTCATTCTGCACAGAATCCAGACCACTGGTTTAACAGCATGACGTTTTCAGAGATGCTGCCACTTTTAAACACACTTGGAGCTTGTGTTGCCTTTTCCTTTGGTCTTTCAGAAATCTGTAATGCATTACTATTCTGTACTTCACGAGTAACACTCCTCAACAAGTACAGATGGAAGAGGCAGAGTGATAAACACAGGAAATACACTTCATACCTCCATAGCATCTCCTAAGGGGGGAAGAAAGAGATCAGAAAATCTACTGGAGGCAAGAAAGTAGTTTATTTGTCTGGAAGAGAATGGGAGAAAGAAACAATAGAACTGGGGCAGACACAGCCTGACAGAGGAGGAAACCAGGTCCTCAGAAAAAAAGGCAGACACCTAAAGAGGAAAAATATAAGAGTGGGTAAACATTCAGGTACATATTTAAGGAGGGGCCCAATTGAATAAATGCTCAGACCAGTTTCAGAGAGTACCTTTGCAAAGGTATTACACCTCAGATGTAGTAAATAAATAATCCTTCCCTATACACGTCTGTATTCCACAGCGACTGCTCCTCTTGACTCCACCTCCATCCCACAGGAAAACACCGATGGACATGAGGGAGCTCCAGGAGGTACCAGGGGGGTATACAAGGAGTGCCACAGGCTGAGCTTTTGGAAGAAGAAAACCTACCTGATTGATTTCAGCTACAAATAAAAACAGAATGGAATACTTCAGTTGGAAGGGACCTACAATGACCATCTAGTGCAACTGGACTAGATGCTCCTCCTCTTGAGGAAAAACACATACCAGGGTGCTTTTAGTGATGCCACTATGCTACAGAATCATAACCCCTTGCATGCCCATTATTATTTTGGAACACAAGTATGCCAACAAGAAACCTTACTGTAATTCCTTGTGCAGACAAACCTGAAGGTTTCAGAGATATCCAAGGGGTACAAAATCTAGGGGCGGAGGTAAATGCATATGAAGAAAGGTAAAGGCAGGCCACTGCAGCAGGTTAGACCTGTTAATCATCTTCATTAGGATTCACTGCACATTTCATTTTCAAATGTTTGGAGGGTTTTTATGATTTCTAGCAAGAACCATGGCACTGCACTGTTCACTTCTTGGCCATACTTGGAAAGCTTCATCATGAAACACAATTGGGAAAGCCTGGTGTGAAAGACCAGATCATTCCCAAGAACTTGGGGAAATACACTAACGACTGGTTGTGCAGTCACCTATAACAAATATAGCAATCACAAAAATAACAATTTGGTCAAGAAACAGGGGCGGGAAAGGATGAAATTCATTCCAGTGAACAATTTGACCATTTACATTTACGTGCATCCATCCATGGTCACGATGGTCGTGGAGCTCCAGTCCCTCAGGAGTGCACGTGCAGCACAACAGTGAAAGTGATGCACAACACCCTCTTAGAAGAAGACTTAGAAGAAAGGAGGTTGCAGCCTTAAACTCAAACAACTGCGGGATTCAGCTGATGTGCTGACACACTGAATCCGGTGGGAAGTCAGGGCTGAACTCTAACGCTTTAGGCATAGGCATACCCGAAGGGTGTGTAACCAAGCTCCACCATTCAGGTGGACACGAAACAAATGGCATTTCCAACTCCTTCCCCCCTGCTCTCCTGCTCCACACCACAGGATAATGGTCCGCTACTTCTTCCTCACTTTTTCTGTGCTGGAAAGCACAGCAGTTCCCATGTAATCCACCCAAGACAATCAGAGATAACAAAAACAGATCTGAGTGGCTAGCTTGGTAAGGACACGCTGCTCCTCAAGAACCACAGCACTGCAAAATAGACCCTGCAGACAAAAGGAATACAAATTCTTACAGTAGCCATCCTGGGAACTAAGTAACCGGCTGTGGAACTCCAGGCAGCCCCAGCACCAAGACGAACAGCAAGAAAGACACTGCCCATCTCAGAAGCAACTTGAGGCAACATACAATAGCCAGCAAGGCAGAACTCGATGGCAAGCAAAGGCAGTGTGCAAAAGTGATGCCACAGTGACCAAATGGCTGCCAGTTCCAACAGCACAGCGGCCACTCGACAAAATGCAACTGGCAATGCGCTGGGCAGCAGCAGCCACAGGCAGGCAGCCTGCAGAAGCCGGTGGGGCAGAACTGCCACTGCTCGCCCCAAGGCACAGCCACAGCTGGGAAATACAGATGCTGCTTCTCCAAAACCCCTCAGCAGCAGACAAGCAGCCCTACATGCTGAAGGATCTCAGCCGGTTCAAAGGGAGCTCAACCACCATCCTGATGTCGCCCAACCATTCGGGTCTGGTCTGCTGCGCGGTCTCCAGGCAGCAACCTGGCTTCCAAAGGAGTGGGCAGCGGGTCCACCGACCGAGAGTGGCATCGTGAAGGGGGTGAATCCCACCCGTGCCTGCCACGGAAACGGAGGACGAGCGAACACACAGCTCCGTGCCCCGCTTCCCCCGATGGAAAACATTCCCAAATATTCCAGCCCGCACCTGCATAAGCGGGAACAATACGAGGCTCGCCGGTAGAAGGGGGCGGTTTTGGGGGCCGGCAGCGTGCCGCCCGGTCCCGTCCGTCCTCCCCCCCACCATCTCCGGCATCGCTGCGGGTCCCTCCCCACTCAGTGCGGGGCTGCGAACTCTCAAGTCCCGCCTGGCCCCCCCGGGTCCCTTCGCCGCTGGGCACCCCCCCCCCCCCGGCCCCGCTGAACTTTCCGTTGCAGGGAAGGGGGGCTCCGCGGGCGGTGACGTCACGTAGGCGCTCAATGGGGGGTGTCCCCGCCCCGGGACCCCCGCGGCGGGCGAGGAGCCCCCTGCCCGTCCCCCATAGCCCGCTCCTCTTCCGGAGGGGGGGGGGGTGGCGCGGAGCGGAGCGGCCGCCGCCAGCTAACGAGCCCCGGGCGGGCAGCATCCCCCCTTCCCGGTAATTTACGAGCGGTCCCGTCCGCCGGGGGGGGGAGCAGGATGGGGCCGATGGGCCGCCCCCCCCTCCCCGTGCCTCCGTGACCCGCGGCGTGCCGGCGGCCTCGCCGCATCCATAACCCCGCCGGGGCAGGCACCGCCGGGGGCCCTTCCCCAGCGGCGCGGGGGTACCCCCCGCCCCCCAAACTTTGCTGTTCCCCCTCCCCACCGCTTCGCCCCCCTCCCGACAGACGGACCGGGGGGGTGGGGGAAAACACCCACCCGCGGAAGAATGCAGCGAGTAGACGAAAATGACAAGCAGGGCGGGAGCGGCTGTGAGCGGCCGAGGGACTCACCGGCGGCTCCGGAGGGGAGGTCGAATGAAGGGAGGAATGGAGGCGGCGAGGAGCGGGGGGAAGGGATTTAAACGCTGCCCCCCTCCCTTTTTCTCGCCCCCCCCCCCCCCTTCCCTTTTCCTCCCTCCTCCTTTTCCGCGCTCCCTCGTATCCTCTCGCGTCTCCGGAATAACCGGTCGGCGGCGGGGGAGGGGGGGGGGCAGCGGCTCCGGGGGTGCGGCGGGGGCCCCTCAGTCGCCCCCTCTCCCGCCTCGCACCCCGCGCTCAGGCGCCGCCGCCTCTGCCCCGCCGCCCTCCCACCGCTCCGACCGCGGCCCGCCTTAGCCACCTCCCATTTCCGAAGAGCCCAGAACCAGCCCCCCCCCCCCCGCCCCTCCGCTCTGTCACCCCCCAGCCGCGCTCGCCTCCGCCCCTCCCCGCGGGGGCCCCGCCGCACGACCCCCAACCCACCCGCGGGAGCGTGGGGTGGGGAGGAGACACGGGAGCGCGGCGAGCAGCCAGCCCGGCCCCCGCCCCGCGCCCCCGGCACAAAGGCCCAAAGAGGGGGAGAGCCCGGAGAAGCCTTTTTGGCAGGACGGACCTGGGGCGACCGAGCCCCTTTGAGGGGGGGGGGAGTGCGAGGAAGGAACCGGCGGCCAGGACCGCGCTCCCCGCGGCTGCGGGAGGGGACTCGGCGGGCGGGGGAGGCGGTGCGGGACCGGGGCCTCCCGGGGGGCGGCGGCCGCCTGCCTGGCGCTCCTCAGCTCCCGCCCCTCCCTCAGCCCTGCCGGCCGCCTCCCATCCCCCGCCCGGTTACCAGGCAACGGCACAAAGGGAGAGCCTCGCGCGGGGACCGACCGGCCGCCCCGCCCGCGCCGGGCCGCGGCATGGCCCCGGGGTCGGACCGTGGGGTCCCGGTCCCCACCACCCATCGCGAAGCGGACCCACGCCAGCGGAGGGGTCGGTGGGGGCCTCGCCCGGGCGGCGCCACATCGCACCCCCACCGCCACCCGCCGCCACTTCAAGGCGGCCGCACGGTGCGGGAGAGCGCCTGAACCCCCCGGCCCCCGGCGGCCGAGTTGGGCCCCACCGGCGGCGGACATGGCCGGTTTTGAACGGTTGCCCCCGAAGGAAGGCGGCGGGTAGAGGGAAGGGGGTGGCCGGGAGCCTATGAAGGGTCTGACCCAACCTCCTGCGGGCCGGAGGGAAGCTACAAGTGAGCAGGCGCTGCCCTTGCTGCCCAAGTTGGGTCCGTAAAGCAAGGGCTGGGGGGACATGCACAGCCCAGACTGCACCGTGCATCTGTCTGCATTAAATAGAAGGCTCCGAGTGTGTATGGGCAAGCTCTTGTATAGATTGCTGATAGACCAGTCACAAAGCGTTTCCTCGGGTGGACCTTCCAACGCAGGCTGGATGCTGCTCTCTCAGCGGGTTTTTATTCAGGAATTCCTATTGTCCGTTACATGGCTCCAAGCACTATTTACAGCATCCAAACCCGGCAGCGAATAGAGATGTATTCATCTCCTCTCACGGGTTCTTCTGTAGCGCTAATCACCCAAGCACTTCAAAAACGTTAATAACGAAGTCCCTGCAACGTGCTTGTAAGCCCATGGCTCCCAACGTGTTTGTTCTACACCCTTTTCCCCAGGGGCACTGTGGCATTTTGGGGCCTCCCTGTTTATCCTGGGCACAGCATTGCTCTCAGTGCCTCTCGTTCCCAAGCCAGCCCTGTTGGCACACAGCACCCCATTGCACAACATGAGCACGCCTCATGTCTCCAGCCTTCATTCATTCTTTCATCCACCCTTCTCCCCAACCTACCTCTTTGTCTTGACCCTCGCCAGAGCCTCCGCCTTGCCAGCAGTAATCCGCGATGCTATTGTTCCCTACGACGTTCTGGTTTCCACACGTCCAGTGGGGGACTGAAAACACCATGGATAATGTGCAAAAATGCCCACTGGTTTTGGGGTCTTCAGTAGGAAACATTTCAGAGTATCATTTTGCAGAGGTGCTCTGTGTTGGCAAGATCACACTGTTGATGCCTAGCACAGAGGTAAGCATTACACTGGGTATGAGGAGCAATTCCTTTCCAAAGGGTGCTCAGGCATTGGAACAGCTGCCCAGGGCAGTGCTGGAGTCACAGTGCCTGGAAGTGTTCACACACCGTGTGGAGGAGGCCCTCAGAGACATGGGTTAGTGGTGGCGTTGGCAGTGCTGGGCAATGGTTGGACTTGATCTTAAAGGTCTCTTCCAACCTGGTTGATTCTGTGGTTCTATGATTACCTGCTTCACAGAGTGGCTCGCTCAGCTGAGCCCCAGGAAACAAAAAGGAATATTACTATTATTGCTGTTGAGCTAGTAGTGCTTGCAGTTGTGGCTGCTTCAAACTGCTACCTTAGGAGTTGACAGCCTTACCTCCTGAGCTGATAGTGAGTATGACCCTTAGAGGCCAAAGTGATGATTCATAAATAAGGAAGATCTTGTCAAAATCCTTGTTTTCGGATGCTAAACAAAATATCCAGATCCCTGAGGTTTGCGATTTTGGGAAATGCCTTTGTGAAAGCCGGTATTGCTTCAGCCCCAGGGTCCTCAGGATCAGTGACATGTGACACCAAGTTGATTAACCACAAAGTCAACCCCCAAATGGTTTTCATGTCATCATTTCCCATAACCAGGTCTGTTGCTTGAGTTAACAAAAGTTGTCTTAAACAAATGTTAAATGAAAAACAATGAGCGACTGAAGACAAGTGCAGCTTCTCAAGGCCTGTTTTGGATCTCTGGCTGGCTGAGGACAGGCTATAGACACAGGGGTGACATAGGTGCTGTCAGCCTTCCCAAAGGCTGCACCGGCTCAGGAATCCTCATGGCCAAATGGCTACTAGGTAAACCCCCCCTGCTTTGACTCAGGGTGGCATGCATAAGTGGAAAATAAACAAGGGGAACAGAAGTGGTCGTGTGTGCTGGTGCAGAGAGGCCAAGGACTGGCTGCAGAACATGGGAAATAAACTTCTCTCACCTTTGAAATGAAGATATTGAAGACCTTGGGCAAATCAAGAGCATTATTAGTTCATGATTAGCATTATCCATATTTCAGGATGGATAAATGACTCATGGAATCTGTGAGCCAGCCAGGAGGCCTCAGCAAGCAGATACCAAGCTTGCTGGGATGCATCCAATCCTTCTTCAGAGCAGGGGGATGGGACATGCCACCTCGTGAGGTCTGTCCAGGTGCATCATCCCACTGCTTTCTAGTTCTACCAGGGGACGAGCAGTAGTGTGTGAAATGAGAGGCCTTGGCTGGGATGTAGAAATGCAGCACAAGAGAGATGCTGATAAACTGCAAAGAGTCCTGCAGAGAATCAGTGAGATAGGTAAGGTGCTCAAGCCCATGGCATACAAGGAGAGGCTGAAGGAGCTGAGTCTTCCAGCCTGGAGAAAAGGAAGGTTAAGGGGGAAGTAATTACTCTCTGCAGCTGTTTCTTGTGGGAGGGGTATAGAGAACTCAGGGTCAAGCTCTTCTGACAGATGCAGAAAGGGTTCAAAAATTTACAAGGGAAATTCTGACTAGATAAAGGGAAAACCGCCTCCCTGAAGGTAGTTCAGCACTAGCTCAGGTGCTGATAGGGGCTGGATCTAGGCCTGGGACCAGCCGTGCTGTGAGCAAGAGTTTGGAGCAGAGACCTCCAGACACCCCTTCCCATCTCAATCTTCCTGTGAAATTCTGATTCTAAAAATACAGAGCCCTGTTCCCCTTTTTGGCACACAGCACACAGTAGTCTCCTTGATGAGCCAAATGCTCTTCATTCAAGTAACATGCCCAGCACCCAGATTTTTGACCTCTTGTCAGATGTTCAGCAGAAGAGTGTCTCTGACAGCCTCCAATGCTAAAGATTTTCTCAACACCGGTTTTTGACATTTTAACATCCAATGTTAAAGATGTGCTCTCAACACTGAACACCACCCCATGGTTCTTGAGAGAGGCAAAAAGATACCAGAGAAATTCAGTAGCTCTTCAGTAAGGCTTCCCTGTGCACTTTACAACAAGCCTAATTCAGTTGCATCTCCCCTTCCAGATCCGTTATGGGTACACGCACCTATTTGGAAATGAAAGAATAATTCTGGAGGGGTGGTGGCTGGTGTTAAACGATCCCTTTAACCACTTGACATCGTTCTGAAAATGTCATCTAACCAGAGTATGACTTGAGAGTTAAAAGAAAACCAATCTAAGAAATGTTTCCCTGCACGGATACTGTCACATCCCCAGCCCATCCCTGTGCTGTTCCTCATACTGAAGCATACTGGAATGCATATTATAGGACAGCAATCTGATGGAGACATAAGCTTATGCACCAGGAGCCCTCAGGTGTGGGAACAGCAAAGTGTTTGGACATTCCTATCACAAAGAAACAATAACCAAATCTCTGCCACTGAGGTGATGAGAAAGCAGCATACATCTTATGGTGCATTAGCTAAGGATGAAGATCTGCAGTGACCAGGCAAATATATCAGGGACCCTATATTCCTTATATACATTGTGCCACTAGTGACAAACCCTTCAGCTTGAGAAAAGGCATCAAGGTGAGGCCCTGCCACAGGACAACGCGTTCTCAGCACCTCAGTGCTTTCAGGTGCCTTCCCTGACACAGGGTTGTGGCAATACTGATAGCTCTTCACTAACAAATTGTTACCACAGTGTAGGGACATATATACCGGTTCCCTGCTGTTAATGCTACGCTGTATTTAAATGGGCAACACAGACTACCTTAGGTACGTAAGTTTCTTTCCTTGCACAAGAAAAAGGCAAATGTGGGAAGGGGAGATGTTCTTGGGAACATAAAAGCTAAGAAACGTGATTTCCAAAAGGCTGCCCTGCTTGCTAAGCAACAGCCATATCACTCGCCAAAGTCCAGCCTCTAAAACAAAGGAACACAGCCGTTAGGTGTACAACTGGAAACAGGGTGTGCCCCCACCACCTGCACGCACCCAAAACGCACCTTCCTGCCCCAAACCAGCGTTGCCGTACCCAAACTCTGGGGGAGGACGCGGCTACGAGGGACCACTGCAGAGGGGCAGGCACCCCCTTGACACCCCCCTCACATCCCCATCGCTGCCGGGGGCAGCATTCCGGTTCGCGGCAGGCCCCGGCACGGGAAAATGGAGCGTTCCCGGCGCGGCTCCGGGACTACAGCTCCCAGCGGCAGCCGCGGCGTGCGGGATGCGCCGGCCCC